GGGGAGAGGGTGGTGATAAAAGGGAGAAAAGGAAGTGGGGTTTCTTTCTAGCCGATTCTCATTAGTAGAATAGGATTTGTTCCTGATGGCGTTGCCTTTCTGGTTTTAAAATTTATTATACACAAATGAGGCATTTTCTATATTAACTGAATTTTTTTTGTTCGTGCAAATAATCGCTTCTGGGCTCTTTTTGGTTATTTTGATTAACATTTGCTCTTCCGCATAAATTCTGTGTCTGCCTCAGGGAAATTTTAGGTTGGTATAATTTTTCACCATTTTTTTTATGAGAAATACTCTGGCGGCTTTTTTAAAGCAAATTGAAGCCATTTTTTATTTTTCGTCTAAAAAATCACCGGCAAACATTCAATTCCGCATTTTTGTTCCGTTCTGTGCTTTAACCCGAAACGGTTTTTCAGCCTCGTCTGTCAGTACGAGCAGCGAAACCAGCGTTAAAGGATCTGTGCGTGGCAGTAGAGGGGCAGCGAAGAAATTGTCAAAACCTATCAAAGAGGAAGTCGTTTCGCCAGCAGCTTCTCCTGAAAATAGAAGATCGTCCAGTTACGATAAACGTATGAGAAAATTGTACAGAAAGGAGAATAGGGCGGGAGAAAGCGAAACTTCACATCGGAATAAAAAAACAAAGCAGATGGAGGAAAATCGAGGTTCTGAGCTTAGCGAAGAAAGGCATGGGAGAAGACTTGGACGCAGCAAAGAAAAACATGGAAAGCACGATAAGCGACATGAGAAAATCGATGAGAACCGACTGGAGAAGGGCGATGAAAAGCGGTCTGAGAAAAGTGATAAAAAGCGAACTGAAAAAGCCAGTGAAATGCAATCGGAGAAGAATGATAAAAAGAAAATTAGGGAGAAACGATCGGAGAAGAGCAGTGAAAAACGGTCTGAGAATTGCGACGAAAAACGTTCTAGTAAGAGCGATAAGAAACATCCGGAGAAAAACGATGAGAAACGGTCCCATAGGAGCGAAAAGCGGCCTCACCACGACAGAAATAATAAAGCAGAAAAAGAGGTTTTGAAGGAGAAGCACAGCACTGCGGAAATGGTCGGTGAAAGTAAACGTCGTCGGCATCATTAAAAGATTCCTGTTTCCTCATGATGAAGGAAATTAAAGCCTCGTCTGCGACCCACCAGGCTTGTCGGTGCGATCATGCATTTTTGCACTGAATTTGAAGATGAGTCATTTCGTTAACAGTATGAATGGTTGTTGCACTCATTGCCGAAAATTTTGCATGAAGAAAAATGAACGGTCGCTCATTGAAAGTCATCCAACTGTTCTTGTTTCGAGTTAGCAGTTTTCTGTTCTGGACTTCCACATGTCAGTACATGAGAACCAGGCATGCTTTGGAGTTGAATCTGAAATCTTATAATCGCACTTGGACAGGGAACATCTTCCCAGAATTCCAGCTTCCTGCCTTGCGCAGTTCCTGAGTTAGCCAGTTTTTCGCCAAAACTTTCACATGCCCGTGTGTGGAAACCAGACGCGCTAAGGAGCTGAGTTCGAAATCTTTAAATCGTACATGAGCAGAGAATGCCTCCTTCAAATTTCAGTTTTCCAGCTTTTCTAGTTCCCGAGCTAGCAATCTTCTCATCAAAACATTCATGCATCCGCATGAGAGATTCCGTCGAATATCAATTGGGATAGTACTTAGCCACTGTACCTACTGGTGAAATTTAAGCATCAAAGCTTACTTGTTTGCGAAATTGAAATGTCCGTGTAGACTCGCACCATGGGTCATCAAAACACGCGTTTTTGCATTTGCATAAATATGCAGGAACGCATAATTAAGAAATTGTTGTACTGATGCTTCCTGCTCCTAGCTGTATGCACAGTTCGGCTCGTGTTTGCAGCTTAGGGATGAAACACAGACTGCCTCATAGAATGTCTTCATACACATGATATTCATGTCTAATCCCTCTGTTTCATGTAATTATCAGTTTTGAATTGTGTGCACACTGTCGTAACATCTCTTTGTTATTTCCGGCTGTTCAGTTTTTGATGACCCATGTTTTTCGTATATTTTCACTGATTAAAAAATGTTTTAATTCGTTTTTTCCCCATTTTTTGTGGTATTTTCTACGTTACACATACTTTATCAGTTGTTGTTTCATCATAATACACATTCAGTTTGTGAACAGGAAGCCACCACTGTTGTAATATTTTTGTCACATTTTGATGTTCACAGTGTATAAGTGCGACAAAATATTTAAAATTGGTTTTTACATCGTCCTGTTGGTTTTTC